GGCCACGGCAAACAGATTGCCTGAGGTCAGGAGTTCAAGACCAGTCTGGCCAACATGGTGAAACCACATCTCTACTAAAAATACATTTTAAAAATATTAGTCGGGTGTGGTGGGGTGTGCCTGTAATTCCAGCTACTCGGGAGGCTGAGGCAGGGGAACTGCTTGAACCAGGGAGGTGGAGGTTGCAGCGGGCCAAGATTGCACCATTGCACTCCAACTTGGGTGACAGAGCAAGACTTGGTCTCAAAAAAAAACCACAAAACCAATCAGCTAGAAAAAGTCTTGGACAAAGAAGTTTCACAGCTGAATTCTACCAGATGTTAAAAAAAAAAAAAAAAAAAAAAAAAAAAAGAGCTAGTATCAATTCTACTGAAACTATTCCAAAAAGTCAAGGGACTTCTTCCTAACTCATTCTATGAGGCCAACATCATTCTGATACCAAAACCTGGCAGAGATATAATGAAAAAAGACAACTTCAGGCCAGTATCTCTGATGAACACAGATGCAAAAATCCTCAACAAAATACTGGCAAACCGGCTGGGCGCGGTGGCTCAAGCCTGTAATCCCAGCACTTTGGGAGGCCGAGGCGGGTGGATCACAAGGTCAAGAGATCCAGACCATCCTGGTCAACATGGTGAAACCCCGTCTCTACTAAAAATACAAAACATTAGCTGGGCATGATGGCACATGCCTGTAATCCCAGCTACTCAGGAGGTTGAGGCAGGAGAATTGCCTGAACCCAGAAGGTGGAGGTTGCGGTGAGCCGAGATCGCACCATTGCACTCCAGCCTGGGTAACAAGAATGAAACTCTGTCTCAAAAAAAAAAAAAAAAAAAAAAAAAATACTGGCAAACCAAATCTAGCAGCACATCAAAAAGCCAATCCACCATGATCAAGTAGGCTTTATTCCTGGGATGCAAGGTTGATTCAACATACACAAATCAATAAATGTGATTATCACATGAACAGAACTAAAAACAAAAAACACATAATCATTGCAATAGACATACAAAAGGGTAAAATTAGGTAAAATTCAACATCTTTCCTCTTTAAAACCCTCAGCAAACTAAGCATTGAGGGTATATACCTCAAAATAGTAGGAGCCATCTAAATAAACCCATAACCAACATCATACTGAACAGGCAAAAGCTGGAAGCATTCTCTTTGAGAACCGCAACAAGACACGGATGTCCACTTTCACCACTCCTATTAAACATACTATTAGAAGTCCTAGCCAGAGCAATCAGGCAAGAGAAAGAAATAAAATATATCCAAATAAGAAGAGGGGAAGGAAAACAATCTTTCTTCACAAATGATGTGATGCTATACTAGAAAACCCTATGTCTATGCCCAAAGGTTCCTAGATCTGATAAAACAACTTCAGGAAAGTTTCAGGATACAAAATCAATGTACAAAAGTCAGTATCATTTCTCTATACAAATAACTTCCAAGCTGACAGCCAAATAAAGAATGCAATTCCATTCACAATAGCCACAAAAATAAAATACCTAGCAATACAGCTAACCAAAGAGGTAAAACAACTCTGCAAGGAGAATTATAACACACTGCTGAAAGAAATCAGAAGCAACACAAACAAATGAAAAACATTTTATGCTCATGGATAGGGAAGAATCAATATTGTTAACATGGCCATATTGCCCAAAGCAATTTACATATTCAATGCTATTCCTATCAAACTGCCAACATTTTTAACAGAATTACAAAAAAAAAAAAAATCTAAAATTCAGTTGCAACCAAAAAAGGGCCCAAAGAGTCATACCAACAGCAATCCTAAGCAAAGAGAACACAACTGGAGGTACCACACTACCCAACTTCAAAATATACTACAAGGCCGCAGTAACTAAAACAGCATTGTACTGGCACAATTGTAAACAGAGAGACCAACCAATGGAACAGGTTAGAGAACCCAGAAATAAAACCATATACCTAAAACTATCAAATCTTCAACAAAGTCAACAAAACAAGCAATGAGGAAAGGACTTCCTATTCAATAAATAGGCTGGGATAACTGGCTAGCCATATGCAGAAAATTGAAACTGAACCCCTGCCTTTCATGATACACAAAAATGAACTCAAGATGGATTAAAGACTTAAAACAAAACGTAAAGCTACAAAAATCTTAGAAGAAAACCTAAGAAATGCCATTCCAGACATGGGCCCAGGTAAAAACTTCATGATGAAGATTCCAAAAGCAAATGCAATAAACAAACAAACAAAAATGCCAAGTGGGACATAATTCAAGAGTTTCTGCATAGCAAAAGAAACTATCAACAGAGTTTCTACAAAATGGGAGAATACATTTGCAAACTATGCATCGAACAAAGTTCTAACATCCAAAATCAAATCAACAAGCAAAAAACAATGACATTAAAAAATGGGCAAAGGACACGAACAGACATTTCTCAAAAGAAGACACACATGCAGCCAACAAGCATATGAAAAAATGCTCACTAAACATTAGAGAAATACAAATAAAAACCACCATGAGATACCATCTCACACCACTCAGATTGGCTATCATTAAAAAGTCAAAAAACAACAAATACTGGTGGTTGTAGAGAAAAGAGAACATTTATACACTGCTGGTGGCATATAAATTAGGTCACTGTGGAAAACAGTCTGGAGATTTCTCAAAGAACTTAAAATGGAACTACCATTTAACCCAGCAATCCCACTACTGCGTATATTCCCAAAGGAACATAAATCATTCTACCATGAAGACTCATGCCCTCACTGCAGCACTGTTAACAACAGCAAACACATAGAACCAACCTAGATGCCCATCAATGGTGGACTGGATAAAGAAAATGTGGTGCATATACACCATGGAATATTACACAGCTACAAAAACAAAATTAGATCATGGCCTTTGTAACATGAATGGAGCTGAGGCCATTATCTTAAGTATATTAATACCACATGTAAAAATGTGGCATTTGGTTTTCTGTTTCTGCATTAATTCATTTACAGCAAGTGGGAGCTAAACACTGAGTATACATGGACACAAAAAAGGGAACACTACACACCGAAACCTATTTGAAAGTGGAAGGTGAGAGAAGGGAGAAGATTAAAAACTATCTATTGGGTATTACGCTGATGACCTCGGTGACAAAATTATCTGTACACCAAACCCCTGTGACATGTAGTCTATGGAAACTGAACAACTTGCTCTTGAATGTTGACTGGATAAACAATGAAATGAAGGCAGAAATAAAGATGTTCTTCGAAACCAACAAGAACGAAGACAAAACATACCAGAATCTCTGGGACACATTTAAAGCAGTCTCTAGAGGAAAATATATAGCAATAAGTGCCCCCATGAGAAGCAAAGGAGAGATCTAAAATTGAAACCCTAGCACCAAAATTGAAAGATCTAGAGGAGCAAGACATGTAGTCTAGTCATATAACAAACATGCACATGTACCCCTTAAATCTAAAATAAAATTTGGAAAGAAAAAAAAAATACAAGGGGGAAAAAATAATTAAAAGTAATGCAAATAAAAAGCAATGTAACAGCTACTTTCATTGCATTAGACATTATAGGTAATCTAGAGATGATTTAAAGCATATAGGAGATAAACATAAGCTATATGCAAATACTACACCATTTTATGTAAGGAACTTGAGCATTTGCAGATTTTGGTATCCTAAAAGAATCCTGGAATCAATCCCCCAAAAATACTGAGGGCCAACTGTATCAACTTTAGTTTAACAATCCTTGCCTCAGAGAAGCCATTCCTGACCTTCCAGAATAGGTCAAATTCCCCTGCTTAATAGCAACAAGAGGTTCTCATTTTTGTAATGTATATTTTGGTTGCAATTTTATGTGTGTGTGATCAAGTCTGCTCGACTCCAGCCCCGCCATACCCTATTACTCTGTAAGCTCCAGAAACTTAAGAGTTCATTTGTTTTTTTTTTCTCACCATTCTACCTCCTATGATGAGCAGTGTTGCATATGCAGTATGAATAAATATTTCATGAATGAATGAACAAGCCGAATCATTAAGAACTTTTCCTGGCTAGGCACAGTGACTCACACCTGTAATCCAGCACTTTCAGAGGCTAAGTCAAGAGGACCGCTTGAGGCCAGGAGTTCTAGACCAGCCTGAGCAACACAGTGAGACCTTGTCTCTACCAAAAAAAAAAAAAAAAAAAAAAAAAAAAAATATATATATATATATATATATATATATATATATATATATAATTAGCCAGGCATGGTTAACACTTGTAGTCTCAGCTACTTGGGAGGCTAAAGCAGGAGGATCACTGGAGCCCAGGAGTTGGAGATGATGGCAGTGAGCTGTGATCATGCCACTGCACTTCAGCCTGGGCAATACAGCAAAACCCTATCTCAAAATTAATTAATAAATAAAAACTTGTCTTATTTGTATCTCCACATTTCCCTCACCCTGCCTACCACTTATTAAAATTTCCAGGGAGCAGGCTCCTGATGTGTTTAAAATTTCTTTTAAAAAACATTCTCCAGGTAATACTGATATCATCTCCAATTGGATTATTAGGCCAAAGGTTTCTAACTAAATTACTGGTATTAATAATTACTCAAAACTGAAAGCATACTGCCTAAGAGAAAATAGTTGATTCACTTTGCAAATTCAGTTATAAAGTAAAAGCAAGCATCAAAGTCACATAAAAAGCCAGAGAAATGTGATCAAGAAATATTCCAAGATAAGATCTGAGAGTCTCAGTGACCTCCTCAACTATGGCACAATGTAATGACTAATGAATATTTTACTGCATGTATCCAATATAATCAAGAGATGACTAGACAAGGTGTAAGTATCAAAAGAAATACAAAATATTTAGTAGGCACTCAATATCTATTGTATTATTTAATTAGCTAAATGAATGTAAACAGTATGGTCTCTTCCCCCAGAAATTTTACAATGTAATTGAAAGACAAATTTTTAAAATCTACTCTTCTAGTTGGAGAGAAAGAAAAAATTAACATCGAAAAGTTTAAAATCATTACATACTTTATTTAAGAACAGTATGTTTATCAAGTTAGGGCAGTGGTATGATTTCTCAATTTACACATACTCCTTTTGAAATTTTAGAAAAAAATGCTTCAGCAATGTAAGGCACAACTCTTGAATATGTAAAATAGTCTTCGCTCTTTATTCTGAGTAACAAAATCATGTAAATTATCCTCTTTGCATAATTATTCCCCCCAAACTAATTAATAATATAGAATTATCTCCCTAAAAAGCAGTTATAAACCATAAATTGAATATAAATAAAATATGAAAGAGAACAAATTTTAAAGCCTCTAAGAAAAAAATTAATACATTGACTTTACCTATAAACCTTATTTTGCTAATGCTAAGCAGAGAACCTTTAAGAGCTCTTATGAGTCAGCAAACAGCTACAGATGTGTCTTCTTGTTAAGAATTTATTCAGTGCTTCTCATAATAGCAGATTTTTAAAAATGAATTCATTGAGGTTCTGGAACCTCTAAACATAAGGCAACAGTTCACAACTGATTTCAGAAATAGAATGTAAGTATTAAATTACAAATTCTACTATGTCAGTGGAAGTGGGTAGATTCATCTGGAGTAGAGCAGTCAGGGTTTATTTTACCCATTTCAAGATCTCTCCATATATTCCACCACTTTGAGGTAGGCTCGGGGAGGAGGTGGAATAGCTTAAAAGGTTATACTTCTTATTTTAAAGTATAAAAACATGTACTTAAAGGCTAAACCTATCTATAACCTACATCTTAATGTCAGCAAAACACACTGCTTTCTACCCAAATCACCAACTGAATCAGCCTTACTCATGATTTCAGAGCATGAGGTGTCCAGAGAAGAAAACTCAAGCCTGAATGGGCTGCATAATGGAGAAGTACAGGTAGTCAAGGCCAGCAGGTAAGACAGCATTAGACAAACTATTTACTACATCTGAATAAGCTCTCCTACCTGAGAAGCATCAGGTACTACATTTGAAATCATCCTGAGTGCTGCATTTCCTGTAGGTGCCCAGACTTGGTAATGCCTGATAAGTTCTGTATATCACCATATCTTGCATTAATAGACAATTTGTATAATGATACTAACTTTACTCACACTGAACTGACTTTCTCATAACCTGAGTAGATTAAATAAACTATTTCAAAGATGAATTTAAAATAATTTTTAAGGAACCCAGAATCTTGATTTAGGACATTGCTTTGACTTATATTACTTTGTATTTATTAGTATATCCTATTCATAATTTTGCACTGACTTTCAATATAAAATTAAATCTCTGCTTACACAAAGTAATTGTCAGCTCAAAATCAACATGAATGGAGTGACACTAAAAATATACTATTATTCCCCATAAAAGAGTTCAATGTAAAATAATCACTGACTGATATTTTATATTCAGATTGTGTCTTCATCTCTACTCCCAGGCAAATATTCTCACTTAAGACCAGTGCTTTAACTGTTTCTTGTAAAGACATTTATTGTTATTGCATATTTATTTATAATTTATGGTTATTCATACAGAATTTGTTTATTTCTAGAATTTTGGGGTAAGAATCATTATAATCACTAATGCAAAATACTCAATTTTTTAAATGTTACATTTCTTGTTTTTAAATGTTTTTTGTGAATAAAAAAAACACATCATAAGTTCATGAGATCTATGCAGCTCGCTACTGTATCAGATATTAAAAACCTTAAGCTAAGGGTTAATCCTGATTGCTTATGAGAATTTCTCAAGAATGGGTCAAATGCATCGCATTTAAATTTGTAGATTATTTTGTCCAGCTGCTCAGTCAAGAGAAATACCACTCAAAGAAATCAATTCTGAATTCATGTCTTTATTTAATAAATACTATGTTTTGCAACCCATATAAAAACTGATCACCCAAGCACATACAAAAGGAACATATTTATCTATAGTGGGCTTGCTAAAGTATTGACAACTAGTCACTGTCCTCTAAATACTTTTATTTTGGCAATAAGGTTAACTTTTAGAAAATTCAGCTTGATACAATAAAATAATTCATCATAACTACACAATACAATTTTTCACTTTTGAGGCAAAATACATAAATCAATACTTGTTTATATGACTTGCAAAATGTCTATACACTAAGATTGCTACAGTCTATAAGGTAACCAAAGATAAGTGATACATACCCTTCAGAAAACACAATTTGTCTGGGGGGATGGTTGCACATATATTTAAATTATGTTAAAAAACACTGAATTATATATTTTAAATGTGTGATTTATATGGTATGTGAATTGTATATCACGAAGGCTTTTTAAACAAAACAACACTGCTGTAACTTAGACCAAAAAAAAAAAAACCCATAATTTGTCACATTGTTCTTTTCAGACATTTTTATAAAGATGGAAATTAACATTTGTAGCATCAGCAGGTTTGATTAGCAAATGTTATCCATGTACGTATAATTATCTAATCAGTAGCCAAAGTGTGCCCTTGATGCTAACCACCCCTATAATTGAATAATCTGTAAATTACAACATGAGTTGTAATCCCCCATCCACTACCAGAACATGCCCTGTAATATATGGCGATTCTAAAAGAAATACAACCGCATGTGCCACCTCAAGAGTTTCTCCAAACCTCCCAAGAGGAATATTTTTCTTTAATTGTTCTTCTTTCAAGTGTTTCGTCATATCTGTGTGTACAAATCCTAAAAGAGAAATGTTTGCTTAGTTGAAAAGGATACACACTAAGACATCTGCTCAATTTCAAAAAAACAATAAATTTGTTTCCAAAAATTTTAATTTGAAATTATTTTAAAAAAAAAAATTTTTTTTTTTGAGATAGGGTCTCGTTCTGTCAGCCAGGCTAGAGTGGAGTGGTAAAATCACAGCTCACTGTAGCCTGGACCTCCAGGGCATAAGAGATCCTCTCACCTCAGCCTCCCAAGTAGCTGGGACTACAGACATGTGTCACCACACCTGGAGTTTTTGTACTTTACTTGTAGAGATGGGGTTTTGTCATGTGGCCCAGGCTGGTCTCAAACTCCTGGACTCAAGGGATCCACCCACCTTAGCCTCCAAAACTATTGGGATTACAGGCATGAGCCACCATACCCACCCTATAATTTGAATTATTAATAAACCTTGTTTATAAAATAGTTTTGTTAGTAATCAAGACACCAAGTCTACATTTTTATTCAATGTAAATCAATGAATATTTATTGAACACCAAAATATCTGACCAAGTATCTGCCCACCTTCTTGCAAAATATAAGTAGGTAGACACAAATATGAATAAAACACAATTCCATTATGTGGGGAACCTATGATTTGTGGAGGAAATGGTCACTTGCACACTCAATTATGATGTAAGGACATCTGGTGAATATTCTGATAGAAGTATATATAAAATACCACAGAAGAGATTAATTTTCACTTAGGGATAGAAGAGTGGAAAGTAGTGTCAAGGGAAGGAAGGCATCACAAAAGTGGTCACACAAACAGATTTTGGTAGATGATTAGAAAGGCCAGTATTTCCCATCTCCATATTTTTTAAATCTTATGGTCATATCCAATTCTGACACAAGTAATCGCAGAAAATTCAAAATTTAATATGGTACTGGTGTATTCAATAAAGACTGCAGAGAGTATGTTCTAAGGAACTTATTAAGTTCTATAGCATAAAGAACTAACTACATAATACATTAACCAATTCTAAATAACCACAAATATATACCAGGAAGAACTGCAGACTTGTGAAGAGAATCTTGTAAGATTAATATGGGACATACAAATACATATTACTAATAAAATGCTTAACCCATATAATCAATATTCTGTATATTACTCAATCATTTGGGCTTTTAAAAAGAAAGCAAGGCCAGTTGCGGTGGCTTACGCCTGTAATCCCAGCACTCTGGGAGGCCAAGGCAGGCAGACTGACTGAGCTCAGGAGTTCACCACCAGCCTGGGCAACACAGTGAACCCCTCATCTCTACTAAAAAAAAAAAAAAAAATTAACTGGCATGGCGGTGTGTGCCAGTAATCCCTACTCGGTAGGCTGAGGCAAGAGAATTGCTTGAACCTGAGAGGCAGAGGCTGCAGTGAGCCGAGATCGTGCCACTGCACTCCAGTCTGGGCAACAGAACAAGACTCCATCTCAAATAAATAAATAAGTAGAAAACAAATATTAATCCTCATGAAAAGAACAATAGTTAGAAAAAGAAATTTAAGGTCATGAAAAATGGACTAAAAGGTCAACGTGACATGTGAAGTAAACATTTGATGTACAATCTCAAAAATAGAGTTTCCAAACTGCCTTATGTTAAAACTAAATCATTTATATTAATACCTCTAACTAAACAACAACCTACATATATTAACATTTAAAGTACCAAAATAAATGTGAAGTAAACAATGAATTAAGAATTAACATAAGGCCACTGGTTTATTATGCAATACTATGTAATTACTTAACTTTTCTTTCTTGAGATTTGCAGTTATAAATATCTATGCATTTTCTTAAAAGTCAATTGTGAAAAATATTCATCGATTTGCCTATCATGAAGCCTATGATTGGTTAAGGGAAAACCTGAAACAAGCTAATGTCTTTCAATAAGAAAGTTGTTAAATAAGTTACAATACAGCCACAGAACAGAATAATGCAGGTATTAAAAATAGTACTATATGTTCTCACTTATAAGTGGGAGCTAAATAATGTGTTCACATGAACCTGATGACAATAGAGATTCAGAAGGGTGAGAGGGTGGGAGGGAAGTGAATGTGGAGAAATTACCTAATGGGTACAATGTATGTTACTCAGGTGATAGATATGCTAAAAGCCCTGACTTCCCACTATGAAATCCATGCATGGAACAAAATTGTATCTGCACCTGCATTTATTTGTATTTATACAAATAAATGAATAAGACAAAAATAAAAGATAAAAATTATGCTATAGAAGGATATTTAAATCTAAAAATAACATTTGTGTATGAAATGTAAGTTACAAATGAATTAAGTTACACCACTATTAAAAACACAAATCAACTTATACTAATGACTAAAAAACGTAATATATACCAAAATGTTAACAGTGATTATCATTAGATACTAGAATTACAGGGGATTATTTTTATTTTCTTCTTCGTATTTTTCACTCTTTCCAAACTGTCTACAACAGATATATATATACATACATATATATATATATACATACATATATATATATAATTTTTGTACTCAGATAAAAGTTGTTGAAAAAAGACACACAGTACTATCTTCAGATAGTCTGTAACGAAGGGCTGGAGAAACAAAACTAATTTTGTATTATATTTGTTTCACTGTGAAATTACACTGTGAAATACAATCTTCTCTGCCATAAAATCTGACCATATTTATTTTAAAAGCCAGCAATATTTCTTTCATTTCCTCTCATCTTTAAGAAGAATGAGATAGCCAGAGGAATGCAAGGATAAAAGGAGCAGCAGCTAACACAGATATAGATACCAGCCTCTGCAGAATTTTGAGTGAACTGTAAATGAAACTTAATTTATAGTGAAGAGCCATAATAATCAACAGGCAATCCAATCATCTTCATAACAATATCATGGTGGTTCTTGCTATCCAGAGTTTTCTGTCTTTGGACATACGTATTTTCAAAAGTGTCTGAGAGTATCCTAGGAAGAAAACCTTATCTCACACTTGTAATAAAAGAATGAATTCAAATTGTCAATGTAACATGTAAAAGTTAATGTTATCTTCTCAAAGATAGTCACAATTATCCTTTAAAGTCTTTGTATATTCTAGCAATACCAGCATAGAATACCTCCTACTAACTCTCACAAACTCTCAGCATAAAAACTGATGCATTTTGAAAATGGGGAAGATAGCCAAAAGGAAGATTGTCCAGAAGCTACCACCGAGTGAGACAGAACCAGAGCAATTACCCGTCTCAGAGCGAGGTACCAGTTCTGTTTTAAAGGGACTAGTTGAACGGCGGGATTAACCCCAAAAAAAAGACAGTGAAAGCAGCCCAAAGGTATCCAACAGAGGAAAGGCAGGGCACTCCCCCACCTGGAAATTCTATCAGGCATGGAGGATGGGGAGGGGGGCGCATCACCTCCTTGGTTCTCTGAATCAGACACAGCAATTCGCTCTTCAGCAGCACACAGACCAGGAAAACGCTGCCTTGCTGAGAACCATCCAGAGTCAGAGACCTGGGCAACAGCCCAGGCCAGCAGCCCTGGCCAGACCAGTGCCTTGTTAGTACAGACCAGGGCAGAGATTTGGACTAATACCGAGAAACCTTGTGAAAAGGAACTGCCTGTCCCACAGAAGGGAGAGTTGAAAGCGGGAAGGGGGTTACGACCAGACAGGCCCCTCCCCAACAAGATCCAGCAACCGAGTCCCTCTCCCGGGAGAGTTTCCCAGTTAACACTTCCACCCAGGAACAGAGGACTCAGCAGGTGGAAAGAGCCCGCCATTGGGGAGGCAGGGCTAACCTCATCAGTAAGGAAACCAGGCCAAGAATAAACAGCAGCCTGACTGGGACAGACGCAACCAGGCAGCACCTCCACAGGCGACTGCAGACTGTCTCAAGTGGCACACTGACACCTGCGGGGGGGCGGGGGGGGGGGGGCAGGGAATGCCTCATACAGGAGAAATAACCCCAACTTTAACAGAAAAGATGTCCACTCAGAAGATGGGAAGAAAGCAGTGCAAAAAGGATGAAAACATCAAAGTTCAAAACGCCTCTCCTCCCCAGAAAGATCACAACAACTCACCAGCATGGCAACAAAACAGGTCAGAAAACGATTTTGACGAGCTGACAGAAGCAGGCTTCAGAAGATGGGTAATAACAAACTTCTCTGAGCTGAAAGAACATGTTTTAACCCACTGCAAAGAAACTAAGAACCTTGAAAAAAGATCAGATGAAATGCCAACTAGAAAAACCAGCCTAAAGAACATAAACGACTTGATGGAGCTGAAAAACACAGCACGAGAACTTTGTGAATCATACACAAGTTTCAATAGCCAAATCAATCAAGCAGAAGAAAGGATATCAGAGATCGAAGATCAACTCAACGAAATAAAAAGAGAAGGCAAGAAAAGAGAAAAAAGAGTGAAAAGAAATGAACAAAGCCTCCAAGAAACATGGGATTATGTGAAAAGACCTAATCTACGCTTCATCGGTGTACCTGAAGAGGACGGGGAAAATGAATCCAACCCAGAAAACACTCTTCAAAATATTATCCAGGAGAACTTCCCCAACCTAGCAAAGCAGGACAACATTCAAATACAGGAAACACAAAGAACACCTCAGAGATACTCCTCAAGAAGAGCCACTCCAAGGCACATAATCGTCAGATTCACCAGGGTTGAAATGAAGTAAAAAATGCTAAGGGCAGCCAGAAAGAAAGGTTGGGTCACCCACAAAGGAAAGCCCATCTGACTCACAGAGGATCTCTTGGCAGAAACCCTACAAGCCTTCTCAGCGTGAGGACCAATATTCAACAACCTTAAAGAAAAGAACTTTCAACCCAGAATCTCATATCAAGCTAAACCAAGCTTCATAAGTGAAGAAGAAATAAAATCCTTTAAGGACAAGCAATTACTGAGAGATTTCGTTAGCCACCAGACCTGCCCTATAAGAGCTCCTGAAGGAAGCACTGAACACAGAAAAAAACATCCAGTACCAGCCACTGCA